TTCTGTTTCTTTGTGATGGGGTGGGGCCACAACATTAGTCACAAAGAAACAGAAAGGATTTTAACAAGATTCCCAGGTGATTCTAATGTGCAGCCAAGGTTGAGAACCACTGTGCTAGACACTCTGTGTTGACTTCCACTATCACAGTGAATATGTCACATTTGAAAAACAATCAACAGGTAAAATTAATTGGTAACAACTTATACTGAAAGAAATCATATCCTCAATTTTTCCTCATATGAATTTAAGAGAACTGTGCATACCAGGTACGGAGCTAAGAGTGCCAATCTCCTATGAGACAGGTATGCCCACTCCCATTGCACAAACAAATAAGTTTAGGGAAACTAAACAATTTTCCCAAGAACACAGAAGCTAGTAATTGGCAAGACCAACACTCAGACCCAGGTCTCTCCGCCACCCCAACCATTTCCCTATTCAGCCTCATAAGGAACTAGAAGAGCCCCATGGTATTGTAAGCTCTGCACAGGGACCTACCGAGATATTTAAAACTTGTGCCATCTATCAATATTGGGGGGAAACTTCAGCTCCCTGGAAACGCATTTAGAAATCCTCGTGCTGAATGAATTCATTAATTGAGTTATCCTCATTTCATGGTGTAAGGTGAAGTGCTTGCCATGAACAAGTGGATCCCTGAAGGATATTACAGATTTTCTGAACCTGCCCGTTAGAAAGAGGGCCTGCTGGGGTTGTGGGGTCTGGAGGAGATAAGACAGCCTTTGAGGAGAGGCAGGAATGGGTTTGGAATCTGCCACTTCCAGCTGTGTAAGCTCAGGGCACTTGTTCTAAGAATCCTCACCTATGACGCACATATAGTGTATTTCTGTTATGGTGAGGATTAAGTGAAGTAAAAGATGTTTAAATGTTAGTTCCATTCCATGTCATGTCTTTTACTTAAATACTTTAGAACAAATAGATAAGAAGATCTGTATCTATTTGGTCAATACATTGCCCTCAATAGAAGTTACATCAGTCTATGAGTGAACCACCATTCTTTTTGGAATATACATACACCAAGTTCAAGTGTTCCTTTCGGTATAATTTACCATGTGACCAAGTCCTACTTATTAGGAGTTATTTACTGTAAGATCTCTGAAACTGAGTTCTGCAAAACATCTGTCTCTCCCGAGGTGTTCTGCTGCCTATAAAACAGTTACCCGCCTCTACCTTCAGGGTATTGCATTCCGCTAGCGCCTGGGCTGTCCTGGCTGCTCTGCTCACACGGGGGCAGGACAGCCGCTCTCCGGACGAGTCTGCGCATAAGCAGCCCAGGAGCCCCCAGGGGCCCGTCCCTGAGGTCCATACAGTAAGGAACGTGTCAAATAGGAAACGGTGCACGCGCTCAGCCAGAGGCCGGTGAAGACCATGGAGGGAAGCGCTTACCTGTACTTTGAACCCTTCTTCGTTCGCTCTTTAGATAAAATATTTGCTCCCTTTTGGACTTGGAAAATGTAAACACATCCCCATACAAGGCAAAAAGTCACTTAACCTTCCAGTTATGGCTTCATGTCACCAGGCCAGGCTGGTTCGTGATAAGCGTCACGCGGTTCTTCTAACGTCTGGACTCTCTTCTTTGAATTGCTGTTTTGTAAAACAAAACAAAAAAAGTGTTCTGATAGCAGAGATTTTTCTGAAAGGCAGATCAAACGAGAAAAAGAGACACTATTCGAAAAGAAGCAATATTTAACTGGAAACGGGTTTTCAGTAAGTGTCATTTGGGAGGAAAAAGGCAAAACTCAGGAGTCGTTAGTCTTGGTTGAAAGGAATCTCAGACTAAATTTATTTCTGTCAGAATCAACACATTAGACTAGGTAATGTGTATGCCTACTTCTACGTTTTCAAAGTTTTTAATTACCCTGTTCTATATATATTTTTTATTTTAATTACTATAACGAGAGTCTTAATGCAAACATAACTTTAACCCTCAGAATTCTGGGGGGGAAATATATACAGTGGGGCCTTGACTTACGAGTGTCCCGACTAACGAGTTTTTTGAGATACCAGCTGTCTCTCAGCCGATTTTTTGCATTGAGTTGACAGAGTAATTTGAGTTAACGAGCTCCTTAACGAGCTTGGTCTCAGAACGAATTAAACTTGTAAAGTCAAGGCCCCACTTTATTGATTGGTTAGTCGACAGATATAGATAGGTATCAAGATAATCTTGGTAAACAAACCAAGTGAGACTGTAAAGTTATTTCTTGTAGCTTCATTTAGGAGAGATTATCCATAAAGATACATTCAACGGCTCACAGTGAGGACTTCTGAGAACTGAGGGAGTGGGCGGGAAGCCCGGATCCGGACAATTTAAAATTCTGTGCGTTCTTTGTTAAAACAGGAGCACACTATACTTATAATTCAGACAGCTTTAAACATTGGTGTGTGTTTTAAGTTAAAGAATCATTAACCTTTTTAATAAATAATCATTATCCTTTAACCCATCAGTGCAAACAACACACAGAACAAGGAGCTAGTATGGGGCAGAATTCTCACTGACATCAATATGCCATTGATTTTTTAATTTTTAAATGCCCAATAGTTTAACATTTTTTACTACAAACATGTGTTTGCCTCGTTTTTTCTTATTTGCTATACTCCACAATTTTTGCATATATATATCTCCTCTTTTCCTACAGTTTATTCAAATACCATTCTCTTGTTCACAAACCAATCTCTTAGAGAAAAGCTAAAAAAAAAAAATGGCAGCCCAAGGGTGACTCGCGGGTAGTCCACAGATGTATTTTTATTTGACTAGAAAAGCATTTTCCAATTAGTTGCCAGTATTTAAAATTTTGAGATTTAACACCAAACTCAAGATTCTCAGCTTCTCTTGTTGTTTTTTAAATATATTTTTTTTATTGATTTTAGAGAGGGAGGGAGAGAGAGATAGAAACATCAGTGATGAGAGAGAATCATTGATCGGCTGCCTCCTGCACGCCCAGTACTGGGGATCAAGTCAGCAACCCAGGCAAGTGCCCTGACCGGGAATTGAACCGTGACCTCCTGGTTCGTGGGTCTACGTTCAATCACTCTCTTGAAAGATCAAAAGATCTGCGGACACAGGGCCCACATTCCTGCCTGGCAGCTGGGATTGCTGCGGGCGGTCTCAGCCTGGTGCCTGCCCTCCTCACCACAGCTCTGCCCACACTCTGCCTCCCCTACAGCCCCTTGGGCATTGCTGTTTGTCTTATGGTGAGTAGGAAAGTAATTTCTTACTTACACCCTTATATTCCCTTTTTAAATAAAGGGGGCTCAGTAACAAAAGGAATATCAAGGAAGCCAAAGGTTTCAAGAAAAAAAGGGGGGGGGGGTAATGCATATTTCCTTATGGAAGTGAATATAGCTAGCATTCCTGTGTTTGGTAGGCAAACAAAGGATGTCCATGTTGAAATAGCTGAATAACCACAGTAAGAAGTCAGCATGGAATAGTAAAAAGCATGAAAAAAAAGTGAGGGCCCGGCCGGCGTGGCTCAGTGGTTGAGCCTGGACCTATGAACCAGAAGGTCATGGTTTGATTCCCGGTCAGGGCACAGGCCCAGGTTGTGAGCTGGATCCCCAATGGGGAGCCTGCAGGAGGCAGCCGATCCATGATTCTCTCTCATCATTGATGTTTCCTCTCTTCCTCCCTTCCTCTCTGAGATCAGTAAAAATATATTTTTTTTAAGTGAGGAATTTGCTTTTAAGTGGAGACACTTAAATGTGATACTTTTGTGAAATGCAGCCTGTCCTCCTGCCTCTAACCTACTCCGCGCGTTTGCATTGGCTGATGGGCCTCCCATGTATGAGTTCGTTCTGCCACTTAGAAACACACCAGAGATGCCTACCTCATCACCTACCCCAGCCTCCTCTGTGCCCTTGAGGATCAGCAGCAAAAGCCGCCCAGCCCAGCAGCTCCTCTTCCACGCCCCTCCTCTTCCTGCCCTGAACGCACTCCCTCCGCGAAGGGGGCAGCTGTAAACACTCCTCTTAACTCTGCAACGTCACACTCCTTCCTCCCACACAGGCCCTCTCTCCCCAAGCCCACAGCCTGGCAAGAGGCCGGAGTGAGGAGCTGAGCCTTTCCTTGGCTAACATGTTCCTATTCATTTCACAAGGTCGCAGGCCCTCAGTCACAGCTGCAAACACTCAGGGCAGATCTCCAGCCCCGGCTCCGCCCCCTGGGAGAGTCAGGGACGGGTTCCAGGCAGCAGCCAGCCCAAGGAGGCCTCTGCAGTCTGTTCAGAAGTCACGCGCAGATCAGTAGCTGCGGGGTGAGGCCACAGGTTCCCAAGCTCCCAATTTAGGGGGAAGAAAAGGCGCCTCTGATCCTGCACCCCAGGACCAGTACATGGGGGCACCCATCAGTACACATGTGTTGAATATAGACTGTGGCTCTACTCTCAGGACGATCAGCAGAAATCTATTTTTTGAAATATATTTTTATTGATTTCAGAGAGGGAGAAACATCCATGATGACAGAGAATCATGGATCGGCTGCCTCCTGCACGCCCCCTACTGAGGATTGAGCCCGAAACCCAGGCATGTATCCTGACCGGGAATGGAACCGTGACCTCCTGGTTCATAGGCCCATGCTCAACCCCTGAGCCACGCCGGCCGGGCGGAATCTGTTTCAGCTGTCATGAGTTAGGCTCCACTTCTAGTGATAGGAGACTACCCCGTCTTCCCGTCCCCAAAGAGCTTCCGTAGGATTTGACTCCACCAGGACGGTGGGGAGGTGGGCAGAGCTGGCTTTATGCTACCACCCCCAGTTCACGAAGAGAAGAGAACTCGGAGCTTCATCCGGTTCCTCCCGGTCCAAGCAAGGGGGCCGGGCCTCGTGCTCACTAGTTTTCCCCGGCCACCCGCCACTGGAGCAACACAGCCATGATGGTCACCATGAGGCTGTGGCCCTTCCCAGAGAACCAAACACACGATCAAAACAGAGGACTGGTGACAAAATAAGTTGTTTTAAAAAATTAAAGAACACAACTGAGGCCAAAGCCATCAAGATTTTAAAAATAGTTTTATATAGAAATATTTTACAAAGATTATACAACATAGCAAATCATGACATACCATAGAAAAGAGAAAAAGACTCGACCTCAAGGGTTAGGAAAGTGCTCATCGTGACGTATTGCCGTCTCCACGAAAGTGCATAAACGTTAAGGCAGAGGGCCTGCTGGTACTGGCATGTTGCAAAAGGACTCGCCAAACAGTTTTTAAAAATATATACAAACGTCCCCCGCCCCCCCCCCCCGCCCCATGCTTCTCAGAGACATCTGAAAGGAATTCATTTAGGGACAGTCTTGCTCTGCAACTGGGTAAAAATAGCTCCTGGGTACAAACAATCAAGGGGAAAATGCTCCACCCCAGCGTGCTCCTAACAAGTCACATGATGGACAACACAAACCCTTTCCCCTGTGGGCCTGCTTTCCCATTCAACCTGCGGGCAGCAAGCAGACTCCCTCGCGGCTGAGAGAGGCAGTCAGTGAGGGTGGCGGGAGTTACCTCCAGATCTTGGTCCTTCAGTGCGAGTTTCTGTGGCCAGACTGTTGGCGCTGGAAGTCATTATGCATTCAGTGTTATAAATCTACTGTGCAGCGTTGCTTCTACCTGCAGCGTATTAGCATTTTACAGAGTGCTGTGTAGGTTAATACGGTATGTTGCCCTCTCTGATAATACAAATATACCAAGGTGCTCTCTAAAGTTCAACCATAACCCTGTTAGAGAATTCTACTGAAATATGTTGTTTTCCACATTTATATAAATCCCTTAAGATTGTCAGGATCAATGAGGATAATACTGGTTATGAAACTTCAGTCTTCCTGCTCGGAGGAGAACTGGTTTTTATAATGGAATAAAACACAAAGGAAAGTAAATTAGCCGGATTGAACGAGAGTGAGTCTTAGGGCAAACTGACATCTGAATTCTACTACAGAGAATAAATATCTGCCAAAAATTAACTTAATTCACCCGACTCACCACTCTTTTATGGAAAATTTTCTCTACTCGGTAGAAACAGGGGAAAATCAGTGTATGTGCCATTTTAGTCTCTATCTTTAGGCTTTTTCCTTTCCTACTTTTTCCCATCCTGAAATGGAAGGGAAGCCAACCAGTTCACTCAGCTGACTGAGGTTTCGGAAACAGCGTTTAGCCTTCAGGACACCGTTGTGGTAAAACCAGAGGGACACCCAGCCACGTAGGGGGATGTGAAGCACAAGACAAGCACGCGCTCTGTGTAACCTAGTAACAGGGACCAGCCGGCGAGACCGGCTCACACAGCAGACGTGGAAGCTTGGTCTTCGCTCGCAACGTCCTTTTCGACAGGACCACAGGCGAAAAGCTTGTTGCCCAGGGTCTTCTGGGCAAACCGGAAATACATGATGTGGCCCATGGCCACGAAGGAGACGGAGATGAGCACGAGCAGGCCGAAGGCCTCCGGGTTGGGGGCCAGGATCACCATGATGAAGTGCAGGAGGTCGAGAAGGTAGTTCATGGAGTTCTGGACACCGTTTATAATGCCTCTTTCTGACTCTATTACATTTTCTTGCAGCAACTGTGTCACAGTTAAATCGAAGGACCAAAGGCCTGTAATGAAGAATATCTTTTTTAGAAACGGTCAATCTCTAGAATTGATAGCCATATATTTCAGATTTATAGGTTGAAAATCTGTCGACACGTGAAACAGTCACGTTAGCCCCATTACTTTAAAGCCACCATAGTATATTGGTCATAGCCTTGCCTTAGAGAGTTATTTTTCATTAAGAAATAGTACTGGGTTACCAGTGGCTCTAAGAAATGATATTTACAGCCACCTGACTCTACAAACATCTTAATTCTGTTTCTCTGTGATTATTCATACTATGAAAGCAAAGCTCTGAAATCACAGACATAATTCTATCGTAAGTACAGTCATGTGCCAAACAATGATGTTATGGTCAATGACAAACCACATATTCAATGGTGGCCCTGCAAGGTTCTACTAGAGCTGAAAAATTCCTATTGCCTGGTGACATCATAGCCATGGTGACATGCTAGCGAGATGTGTTACACATTTGGATGATGCTGGTGTAAACACACCCACTGCACCGACGGATGTAGAAAATATAGCACGTTCAGTTACACCCAGTACATAATACCTGATAATGATAATGCCTGACTATGTTATTGGTTTATGTATTTACTATACCAACCTTTTCTCCTTATTTTAAAATGTTCTCTTTCTACTTATTAATTTAAAAAAGTTTGCCTGGACAGTGTGGTTCAGTGGCTTGAGCGTCGCTAGACCTATGAACCAGGAAGTCACGGTTGGGTTCCCTCCTGGATCCCCAGTAGGGGGCGTGCAGGAGGCAGCCAATCAATTATTCTCTGTCATCATTGATGTTTCTCTCTCTCTCTCCCTCCCTCTCCCTTCCTCTCTGAAATCAATAAAAAAGATAAAAAATAAAAGTTTGCTGTGAGATAGTGTGTCATGTTATGCTGGCAGCAGCCTCATCCGTCTCAAGTTACCGCGTCTCCTGGTTGCATCATTTCTCTGGTGCTTGATTTAATCTGGTGTTTTGCACAGGAGCGAGCTGGGCAGGCTTGGAGGCTAAGACTCACAGGCTGTGCCATCGGCCTGGTGGACAGTAGGCCATGCCATGAGGTTTGCGTAAGGCGCTCCTTCGTGCTCTCACAACCAAACCGCCTCCCGACACACTTCTCAGCACGTTTCTGCCTCGTTAAGCAGCACATGACTGTGCTGGTATTTTTCAGGTTTAAATGAACTGACCTATATATTGTCATGATTAGAGTGTAAGGAAACGTTAAACCATTATTACCTTTACTGCTTGGGTTCTAAAGCCCCTGCAATAAAGCTGTCTCACTCGGAATATTAATGTCTCTGATAAATTAATAAACTGCTTTGTACCAGAAGATAAAAATACGGTTTCATTTCCAGAATAATCCCTCAGTACTCTATTAATGATTACTTACATTTTGCTTTGTAAAAGAAGTCTTTACACTAGGTTGCCTTCCAGAGCTGTAAAATCCATTTGTTTGGCAAAGTATATAATAAATACAGGAACTTTTGGAAGGTTCTTTTTCCTAACTGCCATGTCTTTTGAAAAAATTTAAACCAAAAACACCAACCTACTTGTATACTTATCTTTTTGCCTTGTACCATAGAAACATTCTCCAAATTATAGTCCTATGGGGAGAGTTATAGCCACATAAAGACTCTAAATTACCAAAGGCAATATAATTATCATCGCTAATCTCTTTTTAGGAGTTAATTAATAACATTACAACAGCAATACTTAAAATATCCATTTAGGAAAAACTTTCAAGCTCTAACCATGTTTTCTAAAAGCACAAATATACTTTTTTGAACTATAAAAATGCCATTATGAGAGACTATTATACATAAGGGTGAACAGTGAATTCTGCTTATATTAACACTCAGGGAATACTGGTGAATTCTCTGAACCCCTATTGCAGGCACTTTATTCTGTTTTCATATGTCTTTTTACTGATTTCAGAGGAGAAAGGAGAGGGAGAGAGAGTGACATCCATGATGAGAGAGAATCATGGATCGCCTGCCTCCTGCACGCACCCCCCACTGGGGATGGAGCCCACACCCCGGACATGCGCCCTGACCGGGAATCGAACTGTGACCTCCCGGTTCATGGGGCGACGCTCAACCCCTGAACCCCGAAGGCCAGAGCCCCCCCAACCCCCCAACCCCAAGGCGGACTCACCGATCCTAGCAGCAATGACGCCCGCGAACAGCAGGCTGACGGAGAGGACGGACTCG